ATCTATTCATACCCATATCTGTATATAAGCTGTATTGATGTGGTTCCAATATTACATTCTATCGTGAGTGTAAATTTAATGCATTCATAAAATGATAAAACTATCAATGTCACCAGTTATAATTCAGTACAATGAATAAAAAAATATTTATTGAAATTTTCATTACTTTCAACCATATAAGTAAATATGTAGGTACCAGTTAACAGCTAACACCGTACGTATACAATGATATTAACAGGTATATTTTAAAATGATAACAAGAACACCATTTGAAAGGGGGGTGGGTTATGTGAATCCCTGGCAATTTTTATTAAAAACTGGCTTAGGTTAGGTTAGGTCAATTTTATTTTTTATTCTAATTGTATATTAGTATACACAGAAGTATATATTTACTAACTGTATATTATTCAGTATTACTTGAGTACCCATTTTTTTTTGTGCTGACTAAAATATTCATTAGACATTAGATATTTTAGTTTACCCAGTTTATAGTATTCCTATTTCACTTTTATATCGCCGGCATAATATTAGAAGAACGTATTATTTATTAACTTATTATTTACTTTACAAAATGTTCACATTCCGTTATAAACTGAAATGACGTCATTGAATGATGTTATGATGAGTTATTATAACTCTATTCTATTCTAGTTTCAAATTTAAACTTGACATACTGATATTATATTAAATTTACCTCTCGGTCTATAGTCTCGACTATGTATTATATATTCGATCACGTAGGTATTCTGACCCGTACAGTAATACAATTTGTGTCTGTGGTTTATTGGCAATCTCAAAATCTCCGTGCGCGGTTTCATTTCGTGATGCGGTTATCGAGAATTCGTGTGGTGGTATGCGAAGCCCTTCATAAAATATCTCGTCGCATTCTTCTCTTTGATTTTACAATTTTCCTGACACGTGAATATCGCAAAGTACGAAAAATTATATTCGTACAAAGCATATTATTACCTATAATACCTACATTATTATACCGCATAAAAGAAAGATTGTATACCTAGATAGCGTGTGGCGTCAGTGCCCGTATGCGGTGAAAACTTGTACAACATAATAATATCATTAATTATAAATACGAAGAGCGGTTTCACTACCGTGAACGTCTGAAATAAATGCATACATGATGAGTAGGTGTAATCTTACTTTAACAATGTTTTCTGATATGAATTTTTAGTTATGATAAAAAGATACAGTTAAAAAAGTTCCAAATAAATACTACATAGGGGTTGAGGGAGCGAATGGAGCGCTGAAGAACTGGGAAATTAAAAGGTGGGAAGGAGCATCAAATGAGCCATTTATAAGCTTAGCCAAGAAACGTAGATTCGCATCAGTATGTCCATCGGATAGGTTAGACCAGCCTAACTCCAGGAGAACAGGGGAGTAGTCGTGAATGGGACGGAAATATTCAAAGCAAAACTAGCGAAGGACAGAACGCGTTTTTGGACTTTCTCTAAAGTAGATGAGTCGGTAGCAGTATATGGATCCCGAACAATGGAACTACACTCGAGTATGGGACTAACAATAGTGTAGTACAGGGTTTTGCGAGAAGAAGAGAGCCTAAACTCAGAAGATACCCGCTTAAGAAATCCTAAAATTTTTAAATCATGTAGTATATATTTTTTGTTTTGCTCAAAATATAACACTTATATGTTATCTCATTTACATAGGGTAGTATTTTCCATTTTTAGTAAATTATGTTTCTGTATTATTGGTTCTAAACCTATATCGAGGGTTATATATATATGTATAATATATTTTGTACTATACTATTTAACAATATTTAAAAATTTAATGAATTTAACGATTGAACTACCAGTTAAAATATAATAATAATATAATAAATTATTTTTTACCGTTGGCATACTTTTTTATGTATACCTATCTACCAACATTAGGTTTAACTAAAGAATGAATAAAAAAGAGAAAGGTCTCGGGGATTTGATATTTCTTGAATTCGTTCAACTATGGCAATCGCTCTAGTTTATTTTCTAAGGGATTGTTAAAAATAAATCCAAGTAATCCTCCTTCCCAAATCTTGTATCCTAGTTAGGCTTAGTTGTATAGTTTGTATGATTTAGTTCTATTTAGGTATGATATAAGATGAAAAAAAAAATTCTATTTTAGGGTGTGTATTGTAGTGGGTATAAGTTATTGGGTTTGCGATGACAAACCGCGCTTTATACGGATAACACATAGCAACAAAAACAATTTAATTGTACAATACATACTAGGTAGTAAAAATAAATTACTCAATTATATTATTTGAACGGCTGCAGGTTGCATGGTTTAATATAATATTAATGCGTTCAGTATAGGTGTTATACCATCAACAAAATTAGTATATTTTGAAATAATTTTTTTTTTGTGTGTGTAGTTTGTTTACGTTAAATATTTACTTACAGTTGATATTATAGAAAAAAAAAAAAAATATACAATTATTTGATTTCATAAACAGTAGATAATATTTAACTAAAAATGGTTTTATCAATTTCAAATATCTGGGGCTTTTTTTTTTTTTTTAATTTTGAGTACTTTTTAGACAAAATTAATTGCTATCAAATATAATATATAGGCATAAAACTATAAAATATCTCACCATGTTGATCCCAATCAATAACTTTTTAACGTGATAAATTTCATAAGTATTGTCGTTGTTTATATTTATACAGCGATAAAATACCCCTTTTTTTACATTTTGTTAAAACATTAATTATCGGACAATGTTTTTCTGAAAAGTGTCGACGTTCGTTAGTTTTGTATTTGACTAATAATTTATTAGTTTAAATTAATCACGCCAGCAATTAAATATGCTATTTACCTACAATAATATTATTGATCAACAGTAATAATTTAGGTGTCGAATATACAACAGCTTGTACCTGTATAATTAGTTTTAGAATACCGATTGAGCATTTTTTGTTCATAATTGTCAAAATTAAAATGCCTAGATGTATCTAGACAATAATAATAAGTCGATATTTATTTTAATGCTTGTTTTAAACCAAACCTCATTAACGGAGACAATTTGTTGAGATATTATGTTTTGTATTAATTGAAAATTAATAGGTATTGTTAGTTTAATTAATTTATAAAATTAGTTATTATATTATTATATATTATGAATCCTAATTGCAATATTAATTCTTTATGAGAATTCAGGTTTCAACTTATATGTCAATAGTTATTAGATTTATTTTTATTTTCATAAACACTCAATAGTGTCTACTTAGTAAAATAATATATCATATGGTTATTTTCAGAGGTGAGATTAAAACCTGATTTTCAAATACATTTATTAACACCTAATATTTTTAATATATAATACGAATATAATCTATTTATCATTATCATGTGTTTCTAGTTAATAGTATACATTTTTAAAATAATTTTAAAGGCTTGATAATATTATATAAGTACTTATAGTTATATAAACTTATAACAGCTATACTATTGGTATTGGAAAGAGGATTTATTTTGCTATTTTTATTTTTATTTGATTACACTTGATTCGTAGCCCTAGATATAGTAAAATTCGTACTCATTATAAAATTACTGATATTATTTAAAAAGAAAATAATGGTTTTTTCCCCCAAATAAAGACAAACTTTATTTATTTGTATTGGTAGGACCTGTAAAAAATAATACTGAAGTTTTCAGGGGGCATGTTCTATTTTTACTTCCTTAATGGACTCCCATATTGAAGATGGTTAATACTATTAGGTACATGAAAATACACGTTTCAGTATGATTGTAAAAAACAAACATATTTTTATATTGTATAAATCGAATGGTGTGATAGGAAATAGGAAGAGTATAACGTTAATAATAAATTTTAATTTCAAGCCGACATAAATTGATGACCGTTCGATTTTATTGAATTAACTATGCAATTCCGTGTACCAGTAATGTTCTGTGTGTTCTTATTTTATTTTTACATGCTACAAAAAGCTTTTAAAAGATTGTTTGTGTAAGTACACATGTATCTGGATCAATGAAGCGTTTGGAATTATTTATTTTTATTTTGCGAACTAATACACTTTCATTTAATATTTCTTTTACTTTATTTGTTTCGTTTGAATGAATATTTGATAACTATTTGAATCCATTTAATAACAAATAAAAACGTCGGTTTATATCAATTTTTTACTGTTGGGTGTTTTTTATTTTTATTTTATTTTTTTGTACTATAATATTAGTAATATTGCTACCTACACAAGCGTTTTTTCCATAAGTATCAGTACCTATACGGAATCATATCAAGCTAATAGACAAATATTAAATAAATAACTTTAAATGATATTTTAATATAAATAATAATATGGTTTATATACACTCATCAACACAAATATGAACCTTAAAAACACCAACTCTGTTGAAAGCGTGTTCATCTATCGAATAGTGAACTAGTAATTGACTGACGAAAAAAATGATATGGTTCACATTATCATATTATACTAATACCTATTTTTGTTTACATTCCAATGGTCAAAGAACGAACTAACTCATAAACATTTTGTTTGTCTGATTTCCAATGTAAATTTAACCTACGCGTTTTTTATATTGTTTTATTGAACAAAATTATATCATTCAATTAAATTGTTTAACCAATTAAAATTACCATTAAAAGAATTTGTAGGTGTATTATAATTATATATTATTATATCTAATATTATTTTATTAATTTGATTAAAATAATATGTTTACATGTTTACAATACTCGATAATCACTAAGCGTTTTTTTATTTATTATTATTATTATTTTTTTTTTTTTATAGTGAAGTATTACGGTGTTAACCTACAAATCGCCCCCAGTTCTTTTAAAAAAAAAAATTACATCTTCGTAGTGCACAGAGCTGTAATCAAAATTCAGATTTAAAGGATTTTCCGGGATACTTACGGCAATATTGCTAAAGGGAAATGAAAAAGTAGGGTTAATTTAAAAATACATTATAAAATACAACTTGCAGCATTCGAAAGATGACAAACTGAGCTAATACCGACATGACAGAGTTTATAGTTAATACCAAAAAAACAATGAAAATTGCCAAAAGCGTCTCAATGGTGTTACTCAATTCGTCCTCTACAACAGCATCTCCCATGAGGACACAATACTTTAGCGAAAAGTATACAGTGAGAAAATAGATCATCCAAGAAAAGGATTTCTTTGTAATTTTCTATGAATAGTCAAGAGACAGGTACTAATAGCAACATGGGCTTTTTTTGCGCCGTGAAAAAAAAAAAAAACCCAAAATTTAAAACTAAGCAATGGGTAATTTATCAAAACAAACGTTCGTCTGGCAGGAGAAATATAGTGGAAAACATCTTACAATGTCATAGAATACTGTTATAAAATGGGGGAAAAATTGTGTAATGCTATCGATTTTTTAAATGTTCAATATAATTTTGATAACACAAAGTATAATTTACGAGACCGGAAAAATAGATCAACGTAATATTAGGATATTTAATTTTATCTAAAACAACAGAGTTAAATTATAGTCGTGTATAATCTTTTGTTATTTAAACTTATTAAAATTGTAATTAAAAAGATTTGAATTAAACATAGCAAAAGATATTTTCAAATTAAATATATAATTAAGTTACTACAAAATCTTCACATATTCGTACCCACAAATAAAATAATTCAAATAATTAAACAAATATTATATTTTAATGTTTTTCAAAAATATAAATTAAATATAAATGTCTTAATCTGACTATTGAAAGTAAAATTTAAAATAAATTTAAAATTTTACCACGTCTAGGTAAGTCTAAAATTAGTATTAATACTAAGTTTCAAATCTCTACGTGTATTTATACTCGAATTACAGCATAAAACTTCCAAAAATTTAAATTCCTTAAAAGCTCAAAAGTAGTTCAAAAGTTTCGGCAATAATATTGTAAGAAAGTAAATCAAAATGTCAATAAAAAACTTTTTTTGTAATTTTTCGATTAAATCATTTTTTCTGGTAGAAAACGTCGTCTGTGTTATAAAATAATGAAAACATGAAATTATATGTTTTCCTGCGGTTTTTCTTACTTAAGTCCTTTATTTGAAAAATGGCGTCGAAAATCAACCTAAATTACCCATTTAAAGTAAAATGTAGATAACTTGAGCTTTCAGAAAAGTTGCTACATGTAAAAATTTGAACAAGTTTACTAGGAAAAAACCGTGTCTACAGACTAGAACAAAGAAAAAAATAAATAAACAGTTTTGTAAAACTAATAGCTCCCCTCGCTACGCTCGGAATCTAAAAACATCTTAACAATTATTAGATTTTTTACATAATATTAAGTAGGTATATTGTTTATTTATTAAATCAAGTTGACTGATTCATATTCAGTCAAAATCAAAGATCTCATTAGCTAAATAATAAATTGGAGACTATATAAACATTAAAACTAACTCATTAAAGTTATAGAGTATTCAAAATCTATTTATTAAGATTGTAAAACAAACAATGTTAGAAAAAAACACTTTTATTTTCATTGTCTCTAATAAAATAATATTAATAATAATAATAGAATATAATTAAATTTGTGCATTACATAGTGTTAGTTAATAATATCGATTTTAATACGTACCATAGCTACTTTTTGTGCATTGTGTAAAAAAGTGCATTTGATATTAACAAATATGGATGAACTATTGTAACAATTTACGTTTAACATAATTGCGTTGATAGCATTCAAGTGTACTAGACTGCACCACTGAGTTTTCAGCGCATTTATTTTATTTTTATAATTCTTCACTGATTTATTTGATTTTAGGAAAATAGTGCCACACTAGTATTTTTGGTGTACACAAAAATAATTAGTTTTAAATCAAAAAAAATAAAGGAAAATATTATTATAATTTATAATTAAAGTAATAAACTAAACAAATTTAAGATAATAATAAATTGTCCATTGATATACAAAACAAAGAATTGAATATTATTACACATCTTTTGCTCATCGGATTTTTGAAAAGAATAACTTTACCGTCTTCTATTTAACCTTGAAGGCTATAAAATATCAATTTTATATTGCAAAATATCTCTAGCGCAAAACACTTTAACAGTAATGTTAAGATAACAAAGGACATTTCTATAACAGATATTATATAATATTATTGATGCAAATAAAATGGATACCGATGAAATGTCGGGATCAAAACTTTTTGTATTTTAAGAAAATATTTTTATGTTTTTCGTCTTGTTACCTTTAACTTTATATTTCTGCGATATTCTTTTATTGTATAATAACTAAAATAATTAAATTATATTTATATTTTGTAGACATTATAATAACATTAAAAAAATTATAATAATGATATGGAGTAGTTACGCTTAAACGTATACGTAAATATAATATAAAGAGCGGTCCATTTATCAAAAACCTGCGAATTTCTCGGAGAATTTTAAGGGTATTTGATTTCTACAGTTGTTTTTAATCACCGTGGAGTTAATGCTTAACTTTATAACTATAACTTATTTTACATTTTTACTCGTACTTCTAAAAATATTTAGAAAATAATATTTCCCGTCGTATTTAAATACAATAAAATATATGATACAAATACATTTCTAACGGGAACAAAATCGTGTTTACAGCCATGACATTATGCTACTCGGACTTCATAAAACTTAGTAATAGATTTGTATTAAATGCATTAGTTCATGTGTTATATACTAACCAATGGTTTTATTATTTTCAATATTACTGGGCACAAACATTCGTATACGTTCGTTCGACATTAAAGGTTTAATAAAATATTATTATGTACTTAACAGTCGTAATAGTACAGTTTTGAAATTATTATTTTATATTACTTTGGTTAAAATATATCGAACGAATAAGAGGCCCCTACGTTATATAATTGATAAATCAATATATATTTTATTATTTTCCAATAGAGTATCTAAATGTTTGTGGAGTCGAAGTAATAAAATATACGAAATCGAACATCAGATTTCTACGAAAAAAACGAAAGGAAATTGTTTGCCATTTAATTTAATACCGATATTTCGTATCCGCTGTTAAATGTCCATATTCACTCGAACTATATTTAGTCGAATAAACGTTATCGTGTAATATTTTAATCCCTGAATTTTTGCTCCACGCGATATCATAATAATACGTGTACTCTGTGTGAGCCAGAAGACATCATTAATGCGTGAGTATAGCGGAGGACATAGAAAAAAGTGTATAATATATATATATATAGATATACATACTTATAGTCTTATACAATATATGTATATATTAATTATATGTATATATATATATATATATAATTAATTGGAGAACTTGATGGGATGCGAAAAAAAAAAACTCGTTACCCAAAAAGCATGACCCTACGAACAAAACATGACACCAAGCGCGAGCACTTTACAAAAGAGTCCAGTTCATATTATTAAAGAAAGAGAGAGAGAGAGAGAGAGAGTGAGTGAGAGAGAGAAAGAAAAAGTACTCGCTCCACGGGTGTACTTAGGCACAATAATATATATATGGGCGGACAGTCCCCGGCTCGGTTTCTAATATCTATTGTACTCGTATTCGTGTAGATTACGATGTGCAACCGGATGATTATTTTTGCGATTTATAACAATAATTACAATAGTAATGGGCGCGATGTACAATAATTTTGTTATTAGTTGTGCTGCCAACATAGGGCAATATTTAAAAAAAAATGCGAGTACGGTGTTCTAGTTTTTAATATCTTGTTACGCTGTATTTTAGAGCATTTTTTAGTTGTAAATAATAAATTCACGTTCTTAAAAGATTTAATATCAATATTAATATTTATCACGAATTTAAATATTGCTCGGGTGTTCTAGATTATTATAGCCCAGCCCTAAGCTAAATAAGTTGGAACGCGTAATAGGTTTGTAATATATGACGAATAAATTTGAATAATGTAATGAACTACTTACGTTTCCTTGATTTTACTTATGGATAACTCAAACACTATAAGGAAACTTTTAAACAATAATGTTAAGTGTAAAGCGTATAAATAATTATATAAAGTCAAATTTGTTTATCGTTATCACCTGAATTCGGCGTGCGATGAGAACTTTGTACCTTTACTTTTCAACATTGATATCTATTAAAAAAATATTTGCTAATCATTTTCCTGACAACTATAATGCTCCCGATAATAATAATAATACCGCCCTTTCGGCAATAGAGTTGTCCTGCTCGAGTATCGATCGGCCGGTTTTTCAATATGAACATTAAACATATACGCTTTAAATTTAGCCATCATGAATAATTATAATAATATTATAATTAGCTAATGATCCCTTATTATTATAAAACTAATTATTAAATGAACTGAGCATCACAAGAAAGAGAGACTGCATCACAAAATTATTATTTTTTGGAAGAGAAAATTTAGTAAAATACTTTTTACTCTATGTTTAAGTACATATTGCTAGTGATAATTTTCACACGTAGTAACCAGTAGGCAAACTTTATTACAACCGGAGACCAACTTTTTAATTCTTAGTCCGTAATTATAATATTGTTCCGTGATATGGAGATTTAAGATCGTGCTTTAATACTGATAATTCAGTTTTTATTTTATCGAACAATAAATTAAATATTGTCCTCCAAAAAGCTTCGTTTAAGAATCATTTTCCGATATAAAAAAAAATTTTTTCTGATAGTGCCCACATTTAAGGTGATACTATAAGGAGGTCAATTTTCGATTTTCCCAGAAGTTTCCTCATCAAATGTAAAAAACCGAAAATAATCTGAGGAAAAACGAGAAAATCTATGCAATATATTAGTAAAGTATTTTATTTTTTCTGTAGACAACTTTTCTACCAGCAATTTTGTTCCAATTTACAACGATAGCATTTGTTCTGAAAGGAAAGCTGACGGGGAAGGTACTATAAGGAAATCATTTTTCGATTTCCTAAGAGTTTTCCAGCAAATATGAAAAACCGGAAAGTACGAGGGAAAACTAGGAAAAACAGAAGAAACGGGAAAATAGGGACAATATTAAACAATTATTATTAAAGAAAATACACGATGCATATTTAATTATTTCACCATAATATAACATATATATTGTTGAAAAAGCATCACTATCAACTGAACTGCGCTCAGAATCGTTTTTTCGTTAGCAATGACTTAACGTTGCTTACAGGTATACATTAAATTCCTTCCTGTATCGTACTTTCTCAACTTTCCACCTACACCAGGGGCTGCACTCATCCTTATTATCCTTGGACAGCTTTTGAATAAAATATACAATCTTCACGCAGCATAAAATGTTTAATCTTGAGGGACACGTGCAGACTTTAGAAGCCCTAATACTTTATGTTTTATAAAACACATTGGGAAATTTGAAAAATAATTATTTTCGAAATGATATGGATGGTATACATGCTATTATAACTTTATTCTTGTCAAATAATTCAAAAGTAATTTTTACTATCGTATATTTATGTTAACGGTTAAATAAAAAACAATACCAGCATTTCGAACATTTAAACATTATTATTTACTTTTAAATTTTCGATGAAATAAATTAAATCCATTGTATAGGAATTCTCCATAAATGAGTTGTGTCAGTGTCTATATACATACCGGTATAGAATAATTGCCCGGTAAATATTCAAATATTAATTAATTAATTCAAATTTTGAAGACATTATATTATTTAAAAACATATTATATATATATATATATATGCCATATATATTTTAATTATGCTATTTGGATCCGTTGAACCAATTATTTTGATTTTTAGTATATATAAATGGCATGTAATATTTAATTAAGTTTGCAATCAGTTTTCTGCAGGACTACGAAATAAAAAAAAAAAACTTTTTACATTTAAATCTTGAATTACCAGAAGGGGATTCGAAAACTTGGTTTAATTTTAGTGAAGTCGTGGGGTACCGTTGCAACGTTGGCGGTGATGTATTAAATTGAAAATGTTTTGAAATCGAACGAGATAGTTATCGCAACTTAACAATAGACAATATGAATATTATATACAGTTGGTTAGGCTCAATTTGTTTCGTTGTTTGTTTGGTATATTTCGTAATTTAAAAAAAAAAGTAAAAAAATATATACCTCTCTAAATATAAATAAGTGCATATTTATATTCGAATTGATAATTGAAAAATCATAAATTTTAATAATATTATTATTAATAAACAATAATATTATTATAATATGAACACTATAACACTTCAATTATACATTTGTACCGCGCATATACAGAAATTAAATTAGGTGCCTACCTAGCTAGAATGTGTCGTTGAGTGCATAACACTTCTATAGAAAATTATTATTCATTACACGTTCTCAATAGAGTAATATTCAATAACGTACGTTTTCCGAATCGAAAATAATATGACTGCTGTATAATAACATTTTTATAATAGTTACGTATTGGTATTTTATACGAGTATATAGATTTTTTTTTTTTTTTATTGCGATCTAAGAAAATTGATTTTGATTTTTTTCAATCATTATATAGAATATCAGAATATTTTTTTAATGATTCTATTTACGATATTTTCAAAATTCTACCATTTTTCCACTTTACCATAAACGCGTTTCAACTTTTGATTATTAAGTAAAATCCTTCCTCCCTATCCAGACCGTATTCTAAAAGAGAATATTTTTCTAAAAATATTATCACGCATAACATCAATATTGTATACACTGTATACAAGATAAAACAGTTCCATTTTAGACCGATTGTGGAGAGAAAGATTATCGTCTAAAAGAGGACATTGAGAAATGTATAACCTTCCGTAGGTACTCTTCCGGTTAGAATTTTAGACTGTTATAAAAACCATTAATAACATATCGTCAACATGTTTGTAGATTATAATCGCTGGTTCATAATAAAATAAAAAAAAATAAATAACCCGGTATACATTATGAATTTAAGAATATTATACGCATAGGCAACTGATTTAGTTTTATTAAAAGAATATTTCGAATTTATTTATCTGTAGGAGTGTAGACTGTAAGCACATTCTTTTCTAAAATCTCTGATTTCATTCAACTGTAAATACAATTTATTTTTTTCGTTCATAGGTATTTGTAGAACTGAAATACAAACGGAATTCAAATTATGATAGAGCAATAGTATGCAATTGCACTTGATTCGACAAAAGAATACCATAATACTGCATAGGTAATCATTGTAACCTAACCTGGCGGTGATATTTAATTAATTAATTAATTAATTTCCATAGGTATTATTATTATTAGTATTGCAAGTAAAAAAAAAAAAAATAGGACACCACAAGATAACAAAATATATTTAACCCCCCCACAGCTAATAATGCTGTTATAATTTAAAATTTTATTTTTGTTTTAATTCGTAGAAACTTAAAATTTTCAATGAAAGTTTATATTGTATTTTCCTAGATGTAGTAAAATTTTCAAGAATCACTTTCGAGCTATTTATAGACATTTTATATTTTATATTAGACATTTTTTTACGTAATTTTTATTTGATAAGTATTTGATAGGTATGTGAATATAATCGTTAGACAAAACAGAAATTTTTAAAAGTTTGACAGGAGGTTTGTTGTAAGTCATGCTTAGTGGTCAAAAAAAAAAAAAAAAAAAAAACATAAGTGCAAAGAATTATTCTTTTTTTTTTATTCGAATTTTAAAGTAAAATTCTGATAAATATCGTAAATAATACAGCCTTTTAAAACATGTACAAGCGAACTTCACTCAGAATCGTTTTTCGTTAACAATTGTTTATCAATGATTACAAATATAAACTAAATAACTTTATGTATTTTAACTTCCAGACTTCATACCTACAGCAGTGGCGCACGCATTCCTAGTATCAGCCTTTTTTTTTTTTGTTTTTTGAAAAACACCATTCTATACGGCGCGGCGTCTTAAATATGCAATTTTGTAGCGTGGACGTATGCGCGACACACTGTGTTACTTACTTGACGAAGATTTTTCGTATCGGTATTTTTTAGATTCTCAGTGGAGCGATGAATGTATTGGTTAAAGTATGAAATGTGCTTTTTTTTCTTTTTTTACAAACAAATTGAACATGAGGGTTCATAACAAGTTGTACTTAGTGGTTAAAAAAAATTACCTTACCAAACCAAACCGGAAGTTTTGAGATACGATTATGTACCAGTTATGACCAGTTTGGAGTATTTCCATATATTAACCAAAAAAGTATCTTTGTTGTTTAAATAAAGTTCCATCAGTTGGAAACCTCAGTATTTACAGTTTTTTTTTAATCTTTTCAAGTTTTCTGTTTTTTTTTTTTTTGATTTTTTACAATGTATATAAAAAAACACAAACCAAACAATTTTTTAATAATTTAAAATATTTTTTTGTTATTAATAAATGATTATTTTTATAGTAATGCCGATTGCTCAATATAAAATTCAATGAATATATTACTCATCATTTAACAACGCGTTAATTAAACTTAACATTTCCTATGGGTATCAGTCCCTTTTACTCGTGATAACATTAAAATATCAAAGTTCTCAGTGAATTTTCTAAGTGCAAGTTATTTTATCCGCAACGAACTCAATAGCTCGATTTGCCCCTCTTTATTTTATAACTAGGGCTCATAACTTTGAAAGTATTCATATTTTTTGATCTTACCTTTATGAGCTATAAATTTGTTTCAGGAAATCATGTAGCTATAGATGCGAAACTTTATGTTGCATAATTTTTGCATATTTCGAAGTTGAAATGCTATTTTACTTTTTTTTGTATATTAACCGCTTATTCAGTACCATACGAGGTGGGGCTATTAAACAACGAGACTGGTTACGAAAAAGTGTTTTATTATAAAAATTATTCTACATTCAAATGCTCCCCTTCAATATACTCCCCTCCCCTCGCCATACACCTTTCCATACGTTTTTTCCATTGATAAAAGCAGTGCTGGAAGTTTTCTTTAGTGAGGGCCTTTAGGAGCTNTTTAAAGCAGATTTTATTTTTGGAAACAAAAAAAAGTCACACGGTGCCAAATCTGGCGAGTACGGCGCGTGTTCGAGCACTGGAGTGCGCTTACCGGCCAAATACTGCTTCACAGATAGCGCGTTATGGGCAGGTGCGTTGTCCTGGTGCAAAATCCACGAGTTGTTCTTCCACAACTCGAGCCGTTTCTTAAGAACTCTTTCTTGCAGTGTCGCCAAAACTGATAAATAATAAATCTGGCTGACAGTCTGACCTTCTGGAACCCATTCGGTCATCACGATACCGTTAATGTCAAAAAAAAACGATCAACATTGCCTTAAATTTTGATTTGGACATCCTTGCTTTTTTGATTCTCGGCGATTCAGGTGTCTTCCAATGCAATGATTGACGCTTTGTTTCAACATCGTATTGAAAAATCCATATTTCGTCGCAAATTATAATGTTTTTCATCAATCAGGGATCTTCTTTTAACTTTTCAAGGAAATCTGAGCAGACCTGTTGACTCAAGAACTTTTGGTCAGGAGTTTTTGCCACCAACCTCGCACAGACTTTTGTCATGTTTAATTCCTCATGTAAAATTTTTCTAACCGTTTCTTTATCGGCGTTTACAGCCTCGGCAATCATCCGGATGCTCATTCGCACGCACAATTTGGTTGATTTTTGTCACTGTTTCCGGAGTTGAAACAGTGACAGAGCGACCTGGCGCTGGTCATCTTCAGTGCTCTCTCGGCCCTCACTGAAGCGCTTATACCACTCAAAAACACGTGCACGAGATAGAGAATTGCCTCCATAGGCCTCTTGTAACAATTTATAGCACTCGGTCGGAGTTTTTTTTCAATTTAACGAGAAATTGAGATTGATACGTTGCTCCTGTTTTTCGTCACACATGGTTTTTGGAACGAGAAAAAAACACGTTCGTTTCAAACCACTACTGCACAAATACTATAACAGTGACGAAAACGTGTTTTGGTAAGTGCATAGATAAGATATCTAGATACCCAACGCATTACTCGTTTTCTTCAGTACCCATTTAGGGCGCCCTCTAGGCGAGTAGTCTCGTTATTTAACAGCCATACCTCGTATTTTAAGTTCTATTTTGGTATTTCGTGTACTTTGTTTTATTTAAAAAAAATTAGGCTTCAAAATAATTTTAATAACAAGAATATTATAATTTTGAATATCTACAAGTTCATTGGTTTCTATTAGAATCCGCAGCAACTTAGTAAGACAGTAATCATATAGATAAGTAACCCTCTATAATTGTATCATATGCATTAGTTTTTTTTTTTTTAGTTTGTAAATATTCCGGTATCATTACTGTTATTTTTCGCATATTTAAGCACTAATATATATATGTTTTCAAGATCATATTTTTGTGGCTATTATAAAAACCTTTTTTTATGGTTATAATTTATGATTCATGACACTGTACATCAGTGCAAGGCTTCTCAACCTTTTGGTACCCAGGCGCCGTTTTAAAGTATTATATGAGATCGCGGCCCCCACACCACTATAAAATTGAAATATACCTATATTTCTAAATGTGTATATACTCCATGGGGATTTTTTAAAATATTCACGCCTCTCTAGGGAGGCGCGCTTCCCTTTTAAGTTAATAACTCTTGATGTAGTGAATGAAAAGTATAGGTATATTGAAAACTAGGTAGAATTAGGTAGAACTAGGTGAAACTCTGTGCATATTAGATATTATATTATGGTCGGTATATCGTATTATTAGAGTCCATTAGCATTCTAGTGAACGTTAAAACTTATGTATAACGCGATGGATATTATAACGAAGGGGCTGTTTTATTTTCAACCGTTAAATATTATAGAACGTATATACGACTATAATCACCGTAAAACGCATTAAGACCCCGCTCAGAAAGAGAATATTATTATTATGTACAATATAGATGAAAGAAAATTAGAATATAGTTACTTACCCACCGATAGGCATGACCACACACAATCGACTTCAAACAATACGAAACTCGGTATTAGTGTAACCTCATCAAACAACAAGGTACCCAATTACCGTATCTAACTATAACAAATGCTGCGCGTAATATTAATATTTCTGTAAGACGGACGAAGAGTAGGTGGCCGTAAAAGCCGTAACACGTTAACGTGTTAGGGAGTAGTATAATAATTTTATGAATATTAAAACCATGCTTTAAGTTGATTTTTTAGTAGATAGGTTTTTACCTTCCACTTATAATGCCTTATAAGACGGTACCTATATGCAATTAAAAGAGGTTTATGCGTTTATTTTACGATATATAAATACATATATATTTTGTAACTTCTGTTACTTATATTAACTTGAAATGTATTACAAGAACACTCTATAATATTGTATTATTCGTAATAAGTTATGAACATTTAGAAATAATACTCAACGAAAAAATATGCGATTTTCGTAAAATGAAGGCGTTACTGCGAGAGCCTCTATTAGTGGTATAGCCAGGATTTATCAATATAAAGACGTCCTCGGTTAATGGAGACGAGTAGAGCCACTGTTATTGGTAATTTCATGTATAAACCATTAGTTGCATTGTCAACAATGCATGTCATATTAAATTAAAATAATTATATAGGTTTTATATACTTTCTATAATAATATTTATTAAATTTTGTAATGTTCCGTTTTTCTTGGTTTTCTCGTATTTATTCCCAGGTTTTTCAGGTTTTCTGGGAAACTTATAGGAAAATCAAAAATCACCTCTTTAAAGTACCTCTCCAGTCGGATTTCCTTTTAAGAAAATTTCTATCACTATAAATTACTAGAAGAAAAGTTGTGCTTAGAAAAAAAAAAATTTTATATTTTAGTAATATATTTCGTATATTTTCCGGGTTTTCCCATGTTTTTTCCGGGAAAACTCCTGAGAGAATCGAAAAATAACATTCTTTAGGTACCTCCCTACATCGATATCCTTTCAGAAATGGTGCTACACATAAAAATTGGAGCATGGTTTTTTGTAAAAAAAAAAAAAATTAACATCTTTGTAAAACCATAAACTTATCGCTCGATTTAGAATTTAAAATAAAAATGTCTCGTTATTAGGAATATTATAAATATTAAAGATACATCATGTGTCATACATTAAAAATAATATTGTAACGTTCATGTTATTTTTAAACAACTGCCTTTTATTTTAAAATAATATTATTCCATGTAGATTCTTTTCGGCTTGGGACTCATTTATAAATAAAAATTACAGTTAACTACAATTACTAAGTATAATTCTTTACGGTTGATTTTTATTTCGCCAAACCATTGAAAAACTCATAGGACATTTGTGTTAATTAAAACGAGAGATAAGCAACCGGTCGACGGTGCGTACATATTTAGAGTGACGAAATTCATATTATTTAACAAATCGTGACATGGAACGATTGAATCTTTTTAATCAATCCCCGTATAAAGGCGTAGGATTTTACGTTTGAGTGATTCCCTTAAAAATACAGTCTATCCTGATTGTTAAATTAGTGTTGAATGTTTCTTTTTAGTAGGATGGTAAAAAACTAAATACAAACAGAAGGATTTGTTCGCTAGGGTGGATTACGGCGTTGACAAAGTACGTTGAATTTGTTGCCAAGAAGTTTTCATGGCTTTAGGGACTAAAAAAAAGCTGGGGCAAGCGTAGCAATTATGTTCATTGCTATACTTTGTTTCCAAAGTTATTATCTTTTACATCCTAAGAACACTCAAACATCTCTTCATGAGTACCTACGGTTTTTATTAGTCGGTTAGGTAAAGCTTTAATGTCGATATAAGTATAATATTCGTTTTCTATGCTTTATTGTCAATTAAAAACAGTACATTGATTTTCAAACAATTTTTTACAAAACTTAAGTTTAAATACCTTAGGTACCTATAAAAAATATAATATTTTATGTTTCCTTCAGTTCATTCTAACGATTCGTTGCTGTCGTTACCAATATTAAATTATTGATAGTTTTTTTTTATTTTAGATTCTGAAGTATGGCATAAGAAAGCTATTAGTTGGTACTTTTAAGATTTGTTTTTCTCTCAGGAAAAGCTTTTTCAGATAACTTGTTAAAACGCTTCAAACCGTAATTTAAAAAATCTTTTTCTGGATTTCTAACATACATTTTAACATCTTCGTGATTAAATTTTTTCAATCGTTTAAATTAAATCGCCTCTGCATACACACCTTCTCTCATAAAACAGTAGCGTTTCCAACATGTGAAAGGGAAATATGAAATATATCCTAAACTTTTTAATTGTATTGTACATTCATTTACAAATTAAATGAAATATACACATAGAAACTGGGAATTTAGCACGTTCGCTGAGTGAAGGGATTTCCCTCACTCGTGTAATCTTTTATCAACAATTATTATTATTTTATATGATGGTAGCACAATATACATATATATATATGTGTGTTTTTTATTTCGATAGTGGTAAATATTTGATTTATTAATGTAATATGATATAGCCCTCGATGATGTATTATTATATTTAGTTCGATATATAGTATATACAATCTTTCGTGCGTATTATATCATGTAATTTTTTTCTATACTATGATAAAATCCTCGAAAGTGCAATAAAATTAAAACGTGGCTTTTTTATTTTAAAAGCTAATAAATAATATCTCGTAATCCAACAAAAAAAAATCCCCAGTTTCTTAAAGACGATTTTCCTTTCGTATATCATTTAACCTCAACACGTAGTTTATTGAAAATTGTATTATCTACCTACATATTACGGCTAAAATTTGCGATTAGTTATATATTAACACTATGCGGAATATTATTATTAACGTTATTCGAACTTGACAAATATCCGTTAGGTATTGAGTTCAAAATCTTTAATCTTAACGTTATGATATAAGTCCTACCAATATATAATCGTATTATCAACGAATCAATAGGAAATATTAAACTGTGGTTATCATTTATAAAAGTTTACTAGTGGTGAGTATCGACATTATTCCTGCCGCACACAATAGCTTTCCTGCTGGATCAACTACGGGACCTGTTATAGATTTAGCAGTAACGTCATTTCTGATTTTCGTAATAGAACACGTACATGAATCCTTGCTGGATTTGAGCGTAGCCCAAACTAAACTTAGTTTCTTATCATATGGTTCAAAAACTTCGAGCTAATAACTTTTATCTCTAGGAAATTGTATAAATATTTAAAACCGTGGTAAATATTCAGCCTAAAATTAATAATCGTGCGATGCCACCAGTCGTCATAATGTTTACCACAGCTCACTTTTTGGGACAAAACAAGAAATCTGGCAAGAAATCCAGTGGCAAAACAAGTACCGTGTGCCGTGTGCAACGGAATTAAGCCGATATCATATCTTGGCTGATATTAATATATTGAAGTTTTATAACCCGAAAACAAAAAGTTTAATATCCTTGGAATATCAAAAAATCCTTGCTAACTTCCATCGATTATAACCACTTTCAACTGTTATCGGCGGCTCTAGTTTTCAATTTCAAATATCTGATATCGAGAATTATCGGCTATCGGTTTCATATCGAATTATTGAAGATTATCAAGAAAAAAAAATTGTACCTATTCAGCACTAGTAATTTACAAAACTATAAAATATAGCACAACACTATCTTCACTAATTAAATCAATCATAAAATTATACGTTTTATTATTGACATTAGTTTACGTTTTTGTGATTCATTACTCTAGTGGTACATGTTATATAATGTTCAAACTCAAATTTCAGGGTCATCTGTATGACCTGACAGAATACTTCTATTAGCTTAGCTCATTATAAATATGGTAACATTTTTAAAACATTGTGCGATTTATGAACTATTTACAGACAATTTTCGAATTTTATTTAGTTTTATGTGAATAAAATCGGTTTAACCGAACAGAAATATTCAAAAATTGAAAATAATGCTTAACAACATTTAGTAGTTTTTCATAAGTCCATATATTGTATAATTCGTGGCATTTAAAACATGTTTAATGGAATTTCGCTCAGATACGATTTTTTTTTTTAGAAATGATTTATCGTTAGGTACAGGTATAAATTAAATTGCCCCGTGTATCGCACCTTCCCAACTTCCCAGTTAAACGGGATACCTATTAGTAATATCGGCTTTTGTTTTTTATTAATTTTGCCGGCTCTTTTATTCTCTTTTACTCTAAAAATGCGTATACGTTTTAAAAAAATTGAAATTCTTTTGTTCTCTTTGTCTTTACTGCTTTGAACGTTTTGTTTTAAGACTGAAAACCTACTGTTAACCATAAATGCAAAGTAACGTGATGCGTATAGTTTTTTTTTTTTTAATATTGTTATCAATTATGTTTAGTCATATTCGATTGAATATTAAACAATATTAAAATAATAAAAAAAAAAATGTTAATTTTTAAGTCAAATCAATGAACAGCTGATAAAAAATCACAATGTTTTATATATTTTATTTACCTATAATAATATATTATTCAAAAATTGTTTGGTTTTCTGTTAGATTAAAAATAAAATGTTTTTACTATTATAAAACTCATTCTCTCAAGGAAAATTACAATTTCGCTAATTGCATGTCCGTGTTACTGAATCATCATCAACTGCTCCACTTTCAACATAAATGCCGAATATATTTATTAGTTTTAAGTATAATATTATGTTATGTGTTCATATTTGCATTACCTGCATTTCACGATAATCGAATAATGCCTCCAGTAACTCCAGGTATTCGTGCACTAGAAAAGGTACCTGATTATACTATATAAACTTTTACCGTGTGTACACAAACTTATATACTTGTAATATATTCATGTATATATATGTCACATCCATTTAATGAAATTGTCCATTTCATGAAAAGTTATCAAGCATATGAAATAAAAACCATTTTTTCCCACTTAGTGAAATAAATACAAATTTCATGAAGTGGATACTAAAATTGCATACTGTGTAATATGTTTCATCAAATGGCCTTCCACTTGGTGAAACAAAATATGATATATATATATTTAATTTATATTATACTGTCATTGGTTTAAGTTATTTAATTTTAATTTTAATTAATTAATTTAAACAATTAGTTTAATCGTGACGACTATTACATTTTAGTTTAGCTTGCAAACAAGCTCAACTGTTGAAATTACATTTTTTTTTTTTTTACACGAACAGCTCAAATACACTTGTCCCCCTGATAAAACAGCAACTGTTTCACGAATTGTTATTTTTTACTTGATCAAAATTAATAAAATTTGATGTGGCCAGTTGCAAACTTCTAGATTCAAACCGTTCTTTTAATTGTCCATGCTGAGTTCCTATACGATTTATATAATTTATTCGATCTACAATAACACCAATTACCAATTAAAACTCTTTTTGGAAACGAACCAAAACTTGGTCTGGCTTCTTCAAATGTCATTTTCAATTATTATTAGATTTAACTAAAAAATTGTCTACTGAAGAAGAGCTTAAAGAAATATACCAACAAAATACTACGACAGTTTAGTTAAGTCTACCTGCTTAATTTTTAGTGAAGAAATAGTTGTTGAAACCGAATTTGCAGAAACCATAATTTGCGATTTATGTCAGAATCATGTACAAACTGAACGTCGAGGATCTAACGAAGGACAAAAGAAAAGAGCGATAAAAATGATACAGGTTATATTTAAAAATATAAATACTTTAATTATTATAAATATCTAATAACAAATATATTCATTAAATTATTTATATAGAATAGCAAAGCTGAAATTTTGGAATACAAAATTAATGACTGTGTGATTATTCCAGTACCAAATGTAGACAAAAGAACTTCAGATCCTATAAATGTAATTGGTGTTATTGTAGATCAAAGAAATGATATGAATCGCATAGGAAACCAGAATTGACTATTAAAAGGATGGTTCGGATTTAGAAATTTGTAACTGGTCACATCAAATTTTATTAATACTAATCAATTCAAAAATAACAAAGAAATAGCACTTCGTAAAACAGTTATCAGGGGGACAATTGTATTTGAGTTTTTAGTTGCCAATACAATTGTTTGTAAAATCTAATACAATAACCTGTCCCGCAATATCGCGAACATAAATTACTTGTTCAATTATCTTGTACAAGAAACGAAATTGTGTGTACTGTATTCTAGACCCAAATACATTTATTTTACAAAAATGTTATTTTCGGACATTAGATGGAATTATTAAAAAAAAAAAAATTATAAAAAGCTTTGATATGGTAACTCTATATTATAGTTAATTGAAGAAAATATACGAACATTTAAAACTATGAATGAAGTTTTGTTTTCTTTTTGATTAAAACTTTTTGGGCTAATAAAGAATACGAATTCTCAGTAATTTCATAAACAGATAAATAATGAAAAAGACGGTATAATAATACTAATATTGTTAGAAAAAAGTTATTTTCGTGAGACTCATTATAGCAGTCAGCAGTCGTTCAACTCCTTAATTATATCGTCTAACCATAATTCGTCCTTACTTTACATAAATTTTCTTTTTTTTTGGACTTCAAACTTATATGTAATAATCGTATTAATAATCCAAGCGCAAGTTTTTTTTTTTATATAAACGATAGATATTAACGTCAAATATTGGTTGCACCCATACAATTCAATTTAATGTGATTTAAATAATAAGTGTTGATTTTAATGATGCATGTGTAATTCTACCATTATATTTAATTTTTTATAAAAACGTCGATTGTACAAATAAAATTTAAAATAATATAAATAACCAAAAAACCTAACCAAAGCAAAAACACATTGATATTTTTAAGCTACGTTGACGGGATTCAATACATATTCTTATTTCGAAATTTATACTACCTCCTATTAAATGTAAACATATTAAGCTATCATTTCTTCGTTTATTATTTGCTTCACAATTTGCGTTTATGAAATTTTGATACGACTGGAAAATACATCTTATTAATAATTCTATTCATCTGTTGATATTGTTATTGTAAGTGAGTTCAAGCTATATTATTGTTATTAAGAATAGAAATATATTTTTAACACTTTTTCGTATTTAATTCAATGTACTTATCTAAAAAGTAAAAAATAATTTTGGATTGCTGAGTAGAGGATTTTATTAGTTGTGCAGAAACGACTATATAATCAATTTTTCACTAGGAAAGTGTTTTTTAGTGCACCCTTAATGTGCTTAAAAACGTTAAGTTAATAGCATCCTAAAAAAAAAAAAAATAAGAAAGAAACAAATTGATTGGGTACATTATATTTGATTTTATCGATTCTTCTTGTAATAGCTTTTTCTTTAAGAATAGACATTTTCACATTAAAAAAAAAACATTGTAAAGTTTTTTTTTATAAATTTCACCGTTCAGTTTTTCATTTAATGTTTATGATATATATTATAAGTATTATAATTTGCACAATTTTAATGTCATTTGTAATACTATAATAGTCAAATTATTATATTATCTCATATCAATATAAATCATGTCCACATTATTACTAACATTTTTTTGTAACTACTGAAATAAATTACGTATATATATATTAAGAAGTTAAAGTTTCGTGACTTCCGATTTATAAGACTACAGGATATCATTGGACGCGTATATTACAAAGGATAACTGTCTAGCGTATTTAATAGTCCATGAAGTTAGGGTTTGTTTTGCATCGATGATCGTGACATCGGTAATAATATGAAGGAAATCAAATTGTCTGAGTCTTACTTGGATTATATGATCGTATTATTTATTTTGGATACTGCAATATTTTATACTAATTGGCAAGCGAGTAAGTAATATTAATGAATAATGTTTATTCGTGTTAGGTTATTATTTTTTAGTTTTCATAATATTCGTATAAGATCTCAAATTATCATAATATATGACATCCACACGTTAAAATAATATAATAATTGGATAACTTATAGTAGGTATGTTGTTGAATTTTAATGATTGCAGTTCCTTGAATATTGAGATATTATTGACAATTATAATTTTCCACTTTATTTTTTTATAACTACTTGAATTAATTTAGAAGAAATGCAATAGTAAAAAAAAAAATACAATTTGTCGAAATTGTTTTTATTAACAATTTGCATATACTATACCGTTATACATATATACATTTTACCAACTGAAAAGAATAATACAATGAAAAAACAATATATATATATATAAAATGGCACGAGAAAGGCAACAACTTAAAAGTATATTTATATAAATCATTCAAACAAATAAATTACATAATATACAAAGTTTTTCAACGTGTTTATACCGGACAATATTAATTTTTTATTTAAATATTTTTTTTTTGCAAATATACCCTGTTATTTTTGTGTGTGCAGTGGAAATTATGTTAATTTTTAAAATAATACAGTACCTAGTCATTCGATGTAATATTATTAAATCTGTTTTCGTTTTAATCAATTGTAATAAAACGGATAATAGTGCACTAATTTTTAAACAGCAATCGAAATATTTTAATATTGATTCTTGTTTTACATCGGACTCAAAGGAATCTGGTTAAATTTATTAGTTTTTATCATTGTTATAAAATATGTTCGAAGTTTTTATCAGTGAATAGTAATAATCACACGCTATAATAACCGAGTATTGTAATTTTACCTTCATATAATATATTATAATACTGCGTATGTAATAATTCTTAGAATATTTTCTACATCAGCTGTCATCTTCAGCACCATCCTCGAGGCTTACGAGAGTTTTGTAAGAGTTTTATAGCCACTCGCAAGCCTGTAGAATAATAATACAAATATATATATATATATATATATATTTCTTTTTTAACTTTGCTGTGATAAAATATCCAGCAATGTGAGGTGACGATGAGAGGATGCTTAACCAATTTTACCAACAGTTTTTGTTTCATGCTGTAAAAAAAAATATATATATATATATATACATTTATACATAATTTAAGGGAAAAAGTTAGTATTTATTTGGTTGATTTATTTGATTTATAATTTACTATAAGTAATTCTTAACAAAACATAAAACACGATTTTACACGTTTGTTCTATAGAGTATTTTACAAAGAACACTAGTTTTAATTTGTAAGTCTTTTTTTTATTAAAATTTTTTAACGCCGGTTTTATAGGTTATGTTTTCTAATAATATTTCAATATAAGTTGATCAATTATTGATTTTTCGTCAAGTGTTTTTTGTGTTTGTCATGGAGCAATCGAATCCAGCGACAACAACATATTTTAACAGTGAAGAAACATTACAATTATAACGAGACAAATGTAGAAACCATACGGTAACTTCGTGGTATCCTGAGTTGAAATGATGCGCTAAGTCGACTTATCAAGCTTATAAAAAAGTCTGAAAAAACCCGGTTCAGTTGACAACATTAAATCATATGGGTCTAATCATTCTTGTTAATTTGAATAAAACTTTAACATTGTTTAAGACTAGTGACGCATAGCAACAGCAAAGGCGACTGAGGCTATTGCTCCGTGGCATACAATTTGTTTAATGGCTTACATGTGTTATAGAGACTTGGAGGTTGTCAAATATTTTGTTAACAAATTATAGTGAATACTGAATTAGTTTAACGTGTACGTGAAGCAGGCTTATAATAGCTAGCTCATTTGATTGACTACGATGTATGTGTTATCTGTAGTGACAAACTGATAGAGCTGTAAATAATATTATAACCACTAAAATACACATAGTATATATTTACTCAATGACCATACTAGAATTACTATATAAATTATTACAAATTCAAAAAAATATTTAATCTCAGTGCATTTTAACGTATAACTACGCCACTGTTCAAGACTAAGCATGACCAACTAGATCACGCGCTTTCATTCCATGTGATTAAATTGTTAGGGAGTGTATAAAACACTTGATAACCTACTCTTATAATTCACTTCAAAGTATTCCGAAACTTATAAGCAGGAAAAGCAGCAAGCCATTGAACAAATTGATATTGTTTTTTCTTATTAAATCCGAAGATATACTAACATACAAATATAACATAATATTATGTTCTTTTTCGAGAAAAATTGAATGAGTTATTCAATTTTTTAAATTAGCAATCAATACGTAACACCTTTTATAGTAACCATAAGTAGTTCTTCAGACTATATTTGTAAACTGACTCCGATTTAGGGACGAATAGCATGTTTGGAAATGGGAATTTTCAGATTGCCTAGATCGTATTATGGCTTGATGACCTTATATTTCTATATACTATTTTATTTATTCGTATTATTTAAAAATGTATATAAAATCACATATTAAAATCATATCTTAATACCTATTAAGTTGTCTAGTTATTGTTGTTTTTGGGTATTATATTTTTGTTTTATTATTCTTATTATTTTTATTAATAATAATCATTGATCCGTCAGAATTATTTGTTTTTACTATAGCACTAATCATATTTAATTTAAAATTATGTTTACTTTAATATCGTTAAGATTACCAACAAATTTCGATTGTATTAAAATATAAAATGCGACACACAGCTAAGATGTATACAGCAGTGGGCTAACATTAATTTATTAAAAACGTTAAATGTTTTATTCAGTTATGTTTTTACGTTACGACACTCTGGAAATATATATATATCGGGACGGTAAAAATAAATATAATGATATTCAAAATACGGGTTTTATATTTAATAAATATGGAAATATTGAGTTTTTCCCTTTTCGAAATCCCCGTTTATTTTGTGTCTTGATAAACCTAAAAAATATTCGGTCTACTGTACGCCATCGCAATCTATGACGTTAACGGCGGCGCCACCATCGTTTTCGTCAGAAGTAAAGACCGGAATTATATACAATAAAAATATGTTTTATATGATGCAAATATTATACACTGTGAAAATGACCTTCACACTAATATGCACAAAACATTTTCA